CCATAATTTCGGTACTTGGCTTGATTTCCCTAGTTTACTATATAACTTATTTGTTTTTTATTATTTTAATATGTTTATATTCAATAATGTGTATATGGTTTATGGAAGTTCTCAGGGGTGTCCGTCAATAATATTCGTTTCTACAGTAATTTATATATAATTTCGAATCTAGGAAACAATTTTTCATGATAATTGGTCTTTAGGCCAAACATGTATGGAAGCTGAGCAATCTCCTTTAGCAGTAGTTTTCAACGATATCGTAGAAAACTACTTCTTTTACAAAACAGTGATAAGTTTAAACATCGTTGGTAGTTTTTTTTTTTTTTGTTCCATATAAAGGAACGATATTAATGGGGTTTTAACTAAATTATATGAGAAATAAAGAGAGGGAGAGTTGCGAGTAAATTACATTAACTTTGAAGGTATTGCCTTAATGTAACCCTGTCACGTCGGTGCTAACTTTATGAAAGTACCCTAATTGCTATTGCTATCATACCCTTATATCTAAAAGATGTTTAAGCAGAACTTTTATTTTAGATTATTGTTTTGCATTATTTATCTCGAACGAACACAAACTTTAACATACCTACGATATTTAGCATAATAATCGCAGTTCTCGTAGTAAGTTGGAGTTCAAAAAACTAGTGCATGTACACTTTCTGACCACCTAATATTTCTCTAATCTGTAGTCATCTATACCATCTCATTTAGTTATTTCTAACTAATTAAGTAGCTAACACATCAAAGAAAGTTTGAGATCGCTTGCAAAAGCTGATATATTTTCAAAATTTCACTAAACAAGAGAAAATGTTTAACTTATATCGTTTTTTTATTTAAAAATACACTTTCTGAAATTAAAAAATATAGTTATGATTTTATTATTTTTTTCTTTTTAAGCATTTAACTGTTAGATGTTTAAATCTAAAGAAAAGTTTACTAGAAAAAACTTAAAAAAAAAATATAGCTTATTTTATTATTTATAAAAAAAAAAAATTCAATCCTAAGGCGATTGTAATAGAACTTTCATAATCTAACTTAAAAACCTTTTAATAATAAATAGTTGTTTATCTAATACAAAATAACTCCCCCTCTGGCTCGAACACATGCGGAGATCCTCCTGGGCATTCTGAGGATCAAGTTATCCAGCATTTCTTGTGGTAACTTGTCCCATTCTTGAACAGCAGCTGCACTGTCTGGGGTGGTGGCTGCCGGTTCCAAACAGCTCGCTTAAGAGCATCCCACGCGTGCTCTATTAGGTTTAAGTCAAGAGAGCCGGCAGGCCAGTCTAACCTTGTGATTTCGTATTCTCGGAGAGCAGCATTGACTCCTTGAGCTTGATGTGCGAGCGCATTATCATCAACCAGTACAAATTGGTGCCCATGGTTTACTCGGAAAGGTCTGACGATTCCATCAATAGTGACTGTTTTGTATCTGTCTGCCGTCATAACGCCTTGATAAGAGATTAAAGGCGTTCTAGCTCTAATCATAATACCACCCCAAAAGGACACTGATTTTCCGCCTTGCTGAACCCTTCCAGTGACCATTCTTTGCCTTTCAGAATGTCCAGGTCTTCTTCAAACACGGACACGTCGGTTATCTGGATGAGTACTGATTCGGGATTCGTCAACGAAGCGGCAGTTTTGTCAAATGTTTTCCTCTTCGTCTTCTTCGTTTGGCCGGAATCTAGCCCACTGTCATCTCCGTCGCTGACGTTCTCGTGAAATCAAAGGTGCTTGCCAAGACTTCTTCCGTGCTCGTAATCCAGCCTTGTGTAAGCAATTCTGAATGATCTGAATGCTAACTTCAAGTCCGGAGGCGGCCCGTATTTCTGCTTTTAATTTAGTGGCGTTTATTTTTGGGTCGGCGGCTACCAGCAACCCTATAGTTATGCTACTTTGTACATTTAAAATTCAAAAAATGTTTGAATTTTAAGTTTAAAAGTCTGTAGTATAGGGTTCACAATGGGATTGAAATTGACTTAATAACTGTTAAATTACGAAAACAAACATTGATTTCTTTTACCTTTATAAAAGCACATCATGGATAATGTCTGGTCATAAACATTTCACTACAAATGAAACCGACAAAAGCTTCGTTGGTTTATTTTATCCGTTTCTGATTTGCATACGCTTCAACAAGCTGGTGCAGACGAATACATTATACGAATGATTTTGGTCAAGTCCGTAAAATACGATGTCACTACCTGTCACTACTACCTACACAGGGAAAACTAATAATGATAGTTTCCAACAGCGTATTTCAAGTAGAAGTTTTTTTTATAATTTTATAAAAATATTTATTATTTTTATTTATTTCTCCAAACTTATCACATCTTTGCTCGTGTAACTTAATGCAAGAATGTAAATATTTTTCTTTGATATTATGTAATTAAATGAATACCTTTTTTCAGTAAATTCAATATTCTTTATCACACGTTTTATTACATGCTTACTCAACATTTATCATAATAGTAATCATAAGCTTTTTCATTTTTCCACTACCATGGACATTTGTATCTACACATTTTTGAAATAGTTGGTAAAAATAGTAAGGTACTTCTATGGTCGTAAGCAACCAGATAGTTACTTATCACACCGGTAATATTGATCGAGTATGGCTTGGTCTGATTCTGTTCCCTAAACTATAGAAATCAGGTGGCACCCACATAATACCAACTATACAATAAAGCCCAGCCTTTCTAAGCTTATTATCCTTCTTATCGCACTAAAAGGGTACATGAGGGATTTCATGTTTAAAGTGCGGAGTATTCCTAAGATGTAACGGCCAAAGGCTAGAACGTAATAAATACATCACAAAAGGAATATATTTTCTTTGCATATTTCCAGTACGGTGCTTTAAAGCTCTAGTCGGTATCATTCATATTTATGCATCTCTGCGCTGGGATTATTCAGGCGTTCACAAATAGGCGCGCTTCCTTGAATAGACAAGGCCTTTAAGAGTTTTATTTTTATACAACAATAAATTGTATTGCGACAAAAGTAACAATAATATATTTTTGCATGCATAGAATTTGTAAAACGAGAAGGACCCGCGTCTTGGATTATATTTTTCAGGCGATTTTTGTCGGATTTCATATAATAACATTTCTACGGAACAGCATTTTTGTCAGTCAAGGTACATTAACTCGAATACGATTCATAGCTATGAAAAAAAGGACTTTTTTTTTTAAATAAGTTCCTAGTCTTGCCTAATCTTTTTTTTTCTACTACATTAATCATTTATTATTTTTATATCTGTTAGTTAATACATTAATATAATAACATTCAAATATATGAAGCAAATGATCATAATTCAAAATGATCTCCATCGGCTTTAATACAGTTCTTTAAACATTGAGTCCTGTTGTCAATGAAACACGCGCTCTCTCTATCGGAAAATTATTCACTGCTTATTTTAATGGTTGTTTTAGGGACTCTAAAAATCATGGCGTTTAGAGCATGTCATACTCTAAAACTGACCCTAAATCATATTCCAGAGAATTAAGGATCATTCTTGGTTATAACATAGTGTTGTTTAAGAGGCTTAGCCACCTCCTCAAGAATCGTATCTTCTTACACTTGTGCCGATGTTTTGATACCTTTTTCACAAACATATAGCTCAGTCACTGACGAAAGCTTCAGTTTCTGTAAAGCTTCGAGCATGAACTTGGTCATTCTGCATGTTTAAACATTGCTCAATACTAATCATTTTCTCGTCAGTGAATAAATATTTTCTGTGCCCTCCCTTTGCGTACCGTTTAAAAAGTTGTTTTGATTTTACCAGCCTTTTCTTTAATTATCAATTTTAATGATGATTAGTAGTAATGAAGTGTATCTGTAAACTATAGTCCTGAGTCATCTTTTAAAAAATGTGCCATGGTTCTAGATGCTATATTTTGATTTCCCAAGATAAAATCGTCTGCTTTAGGACAGGATTTCTTCGAATTATTTCCTTCGCCTTTTTAGTGTGAATACTATACGTATTATTCGTACTAAAAAGGTGATCAAAGCAACACTATATACGCATAGTGTACTTATCATTAGCTCGGTACGCAACATTCGACTAATACCAAGGGGACGGAGCATTTCAAATTTACATTTAGCTCCATACCTACTTTGTTATCTTTTTTTGTTTTCTTTTACAGCGATTTAGACTTAGACTAAGAAGATAATTGATGCTAACGTATTAATAGTAAAGGTTTTTTTTATGTAACTAGGTAGGCAAATGACTCTACCCCACCTGATGTTAAGTGGTGATAAAGTCCAAATGCGAAGATAGCTGGTACAGCAGTTATAAACTGCTACACCAACCATCCTCACCTTGCCGGCCCGCAAAAATGCTTCTTCACGCCTCTCTTAAAGGACCCCAGATTATAGGAAGGAGGGAACACGTGCGCGGGTAAAGAATTCCACTTACGAATAGTCCGACAAAGAAATGAGTCGCCAAATTTCTTTGTTCATGTAGGAATAGTGACCACAGTAAGTCGGTGGCAACGTAGGCCAGCGCGCGTAGTCCTCTGAAGAAAAGGTGATGGAGGGATAAGAGAGAATAGCTCCTCGGAAGGTTTTCCTACAAGAACCCCCATAACAGGTCAGCACGTGCAAATAACGAATTTTTCTTTCTAAATAAAGCGCACGAAGGTGTTCTTGATAACAATAGCACGAGGAAAAGCGCTTCCTGATATAACAAAGTACGTATTAATAAAATACCTAAAGTAGAACACAGATTTTTTTGTTAAGTCAAAATCGACTTTAACAGCTTTTCTTAGAAACCAATTTTATTTACATTTCTAAATTGGGGTGTCTTCTTACGACGTTACGAGTCTAAACATTGTATTCGCTGGATCCGAATGCGCATGGCATGACATATAGCCCGACACGGCGGAATGCGTCAAGCGATATCCATGATGCGAATGGCGGCTGTAAATTTTTATCTTAAAATGATAAATTAATGGTAAGTGTGTGTAGAGCCCTATGTAAATGGAACCTATTTCAAAAGCCCTATAATGGCATGACCTTCTCGCTATTCCTAAGTCCAGCACAACAATCTGTAACTATGTAGCACTTCGGCCCGAACCTTTAAGGAGCATGTTATAAATGTCTAGTCGGTATTCCTGAACTGTCAATAACTTTATGGGATTCGTCTGTCGATCGATTACTGCGGCACAATATTTCTACGAATATTTCTCTTACCTTTCTTCGAAGCGTATGCTGGAACGGCTGATATCACTCCACGCGCTCATTGACCGTCCACGACCCTTGTGGTAAGCGGCAGTAGTGCTCGTAGCGGTCGCTCGACGTTCTAGCTCCACCTCCGGTGGAAAATTGACCTTGGTGGAGCCGCGCGAAGATGGTCCATCGGCCGATTCTCCACCGGCAGACAACTCCATCTCGAAGGCAGCGTATTCGGGCACGTCTTCGGGTTCGGCTTCGCTACCGTCGCTGGCTGCCGAGAGCGCCTCATAACCGTAGCCGGGGCGGGCGCCGACGCCGCCGCCGCCGCCGCCGGCCACGCCACCCCCGCCGGACCCGCACTCCGGCCCGGCAGCCAGCCTCGACGCAGCTTCGATTCGGCTCAATGACGCCGCTTTTACTGACTGTCCTCGAACGTTCAATGGTGAACTCCTCGATGGGAAATGGTTCGAGTAACGTAATTTGCTGTGACGAAACGTGGTGGTGCCTTATAGTATCAGTAGAGAAAATATAATATTAATAAGGTTCCAAGCTCACGGTCAGCTTTTAATTTTCGTCACTTCTTACACTTGACGACGATAATTACAATAACAGTACTATGATTTACATGTTATGGTTCGATACTGATTTATTATAATTAGGAAAGTTTTATTGCCAATGTTTATAATTATTTTGAATTTGCCGCTTTGCTTCGATTTGCACAACAACAAACATTCACAATGATTTCTGAGCGTTCACTTCTTTCTGGATGATTTCTCGCGATTTAAACTTTCGATTCGTGACTGATCACTTTGTTGAATAATAGTCATTAAAAAAGTAAAAAGACGTCATAAGACGACGAAACTAAAACATAGCCTGATTACTGCAGCCCCTCTTCGACTAGTGACCTTTATGCCGCCAAGCAGTATCAGGTTTAGTTAATGGGGGTGGCCAAACAATAAAGACGTATAGATACTACGTTTAATACATAAGGTAACGTGAAGTGAGCAACGCATAAAGAAAAATCGGAGTGAAGTCCGCGCAAGTGAAGACGGGTGGGGCAGATCGATGCCGCGACACACGACGCTGGCCTCCGTTAGTACCGCTTCCCGCCACATGAATATTGTAGCGCTATTGTTTAACTTGCTGTAAATATTTAATACTTTTGATGAGTGCTTGATGCCAGTATTATAGCAGAGGCAATATTAATTTATTTGCAAACGCTGCACTTAATCTTGTGAATGAAGGACCCAAGATAGTCACCAATTTTTGTTGTTTATACTTATATTTTTTCTCACTGTGGTCCACAATGATTGTAACTAAGTATAATATCAATCACCGGTCAGTCAATCAAGTGCACCGGTTATCAATTTCACGACCGGTACACCGTTCCTAGTATCGCCGTTCCTATTAAATCTAGTTTCCGATTGAGCGAGGAACTCGATGATGCAGTGGTTAACGCGTTCGGTCTCCGGTTGTAAGTTTTTTTTTATATATCCAGGTAGGCAAATGTCTCTACCCCTCCAGATGTTAAGTGGTGATAAAGTCCAAACGCGAAGATAGCTGATACAGCAGTTATAACTGCCACACCAACCATCCTCACCTTACCGGAAAAATGCTTCTTCAAAAAGTTAAGTTGATATAAACTGCTAAAAGATCATATTTAAGAATTTACAATATGGTGCATCGGTACGCCCCTTATTTATCGAGATTATTCCACTATTTGCATAAGGATTAACGTAATGTTTCACTACAATACTATTATAATGTCAAAATAAGAATTTATTGCGAACTGCAGAGATTCGCCACAAGGCAAGATCTCAAGCGATTACTAAGTACGATTCAAAATTATGTTATAACTTATCATATTGAAGGCATTAGAACTTTTCAGTAAAACTACATTCTTGGGAATAAATCTAGATTCAAAATTGCAGTGCAGAGGACTCGCTTAAAAGCTAAGCCCAGTTGCATATGCAGTTGAAAGCATTAGAAAATTAGCAGACGAAGCTACAGTAAGACTTGAAAGTTTCACCTATTGTCACAGATGGTATTTATTCCAATAAGGGACATTGAAAATAAATTTGTTCTCCTGTATTCAAATATCTTTATTCAAATTGGATGTACAACTCTTTTGAATCGTCCAATTTTCCCCCCTAATACATTTATTTTTTAGCTGCGGAAAAAAAAGATATAACTCCACATCGATAAAAAGAATAATGTAATAACATTAACATATCATTATATTGTTACAACGTCAATACAATTATGATAAATTTCATAAGAAAACCTGTTGAAATGATGGGAACAGTTCAAACTCAAGCATTTTTGTCTGTAATATAATCAGGCACTTCGTAATAAGCTTTTTATGGTTCCGCAGTCCTGATAAGGAACCCTTATAGTTTCATCATGTCCGTCTGTCCATCCTCGGCTTTGCTTGGATACTATTAGCTGTAATGGGTTGGATTTATTAATAAGCTTCCTCGTTCTGGGAAAACTGACGCCGTGGGGGGGCTCAGGGGGCTTTACTGAAACTCCTGGCGTCGATTTTAGTTTCCGGAGAGGTACCTACGTATTTTTTTTTCTTTTTCATTTTTGAGTCAAACGAAACGAATGTAGTGAGTAATAAAACTAAAAATGAGGCTGTATGGGCATTGTTCCCCTTCCCTGGAAAGGGAGAACTGAAAAAAACAAAGGGATACGCAAAAATAATCAACATGAGATGTGTTCATTCCGTTGCTTCCGAGTTTCCGTGAATGTTGTGTGTGTGATTTCGACCCTTTTTACTGACCTTGGCGCGCCCCCCGGACTGATTGTTGGCCTTAGGGCTAAACTGTACTTCCTAGGACCAAGTGGTAATACTTCACAGTAGGTTAGGATAGGTTAGTGCTGTGACCATAACGCGCGAGCCGAGCGAGCGAAGCGAGCATGCCGCGGCAGCGGCCGGCGAAGCGCCAGATTTTTTTTTGAAGTTATACTTCTTTAGGCGCGTTATGAAAAAATAATGAGAGTGAAATTTTAAGATGCGCGCGCATCACTGTAACACAAAAATTAACTGTTACTTTTGTGTTTACCGCACATTAAGAAAATCTACCAACAAAATAGAAATAGAATCTCTATTTAGTGGGTGCTAACGACTGCATTGTGAAGGCCTATCAAAAGTATTTATTAATCTGGAACAACGGAACCAAAGCGCGATTCAGGAGTAGGGTTGTAACGATATATCGGAATATCGATAATATCGAGACCAAAATATCGATATTTATATCGATATTTAAAATTCACTGATATCGATAATATCGAAATCGGAAATTCCAAAATATCGATATTTCGTAGACTAAATTTAAACACAATAATATCAATTGATTTACCTGCTATGACTTTCTAAATTGAATAATATCGAAATAACTATTGCTTTGAAATCGCAAGAGCTCATAGATGTATTAAAAAATGTAGAACCCCAAGAAATATACTAAACTGGTGTCGATTCTGGCATGATTCTCTAAACCTAAAATTAAATTTGACAACAGTGTATCCTTGTCATTCTCTATACAGAATGAAAAGGAGAGACTGATGTTAAATTTAGTTTTAAGTTTAGATAATCATGCCAGAATCGACACCAACGTATATGGGTATAATCGTATACGTAATGGTAACTCATGCATTTAAATAAAATACTTGCCTCTCTTTCTAGATAATTGTCAACTATTGATTAATTGAAATTTAATATCATTGTAATTAACACAAAATAAAATTAAGAATCTTATACAAATCGTAAATTTTTTAAGCTCGCCAAGTCAAGTAAGTAAGATAGGTATAGTAATTTTGGAAGCTTTGGGCTTACCCTATTCTGAAGCCATGGGCACGCCCCTGATGTGTAGGTTTTACTAATACATAACAATTGTTTTTCATATGATTATCTATTCTGATTTGGGCTGCGTGCAAACATTTTAAACAAAATAAATATCTTTGATTCGAAATTGCTTTTGATTTGATACTTCTTACAGCGCTATAAAAATATAGAAAATATCGTGTTGGAAATGTTGGAATCGCTGATATATCGGATCGGATATCGATATTTACCTGCCCACATTATAAATATCGATATTTCGGAAACCTTTGCTTCCTTATAATTATAGGTTTCTGCTTTGCAAACTTAATACAAAGCAAAAAAAAAAGAAAAAATATCGATATATCGATAATATCGAGTTAAAATGGTCGATATATCGGATATCGATATTTTCCTGACTTCGATATAAATATCGATATTTCAAAAGACTTTGCATCCCTATTCAGGAGACTACAGCGCCATCTCTTGACCTTTGGTGTAGTAGAACCAAAAACCACATCTTTATTTTTTGTAATAAAGTAACAGTTATAGGTATTCATATTTATAATATCAAAAGTATTTATTAATCTGGAACAACGGAACCAAAGCGCGATTCATGAGACTACAGCGCCATCTCTTGACCATTGGTGTAGTAGAACCAAAAACCACATCTTTATTTTTTGTAATAAAGTAACAGTTATAGGTATTCATATTTATAATATTTATCCACATGTTTCTAGTTTGTATATTCGGAATACGTGTTTGAGTTTCATACAAGTGCAAATCACATATGTTCTAATAAATTATATTCAGTAGCGATTTAGCAACCCCCTAACGAGATAGCTTATTTCTAAACTTTAACCGCTGTAATTTTGTGAAGATATGTATATCGATCACGCCGACAAAATAGTAGATTTTTATTTCAAAAATATTTTTTTAGGGTAGCTCCCCTACATGTAACCTGAAGATTTTTTTTCACATCTACCCCATCGTGTGGGACATCGTTGAATAGATCCTTTAAAATTACTTAAGGGTTCCTAAGACTATTTTTCGATTTAGATATCCTTTTGCGAAATGTTGAACCTTAAAGTGCTAATTTTTGTTCGAGTAGGTAAATTCCTTAGAAGAAAACATTAATAGTAACATAGATGAAGTTATTATATCGTATAATTTTGCATTGTAATAAAAAATATAATAAAGTAAATAGCACCATTTTGAAGTTACGTTGTTTTATTTGTTTTCCTTTTGTCATTATAAGACAAAGATTGAGATTACCATCCAGCCATTGAGCATCCTAAACTTTACATGCGAAAAAATCACCTAAATGTTAAAATATGACAATGGTTATATTATTGATATTTTTCTATAAACAATAAACTAAATTTTGATTTTGACCTAAGCATTAAATTGACATTTATTTCAAAAAATTATAAAACAACATTTCTGTTGTGAGAAGTTTGGGGATAGCGGAAAAAGTCACACTGAGAAAAAAAACCAAACTCAAAAATTGTTGGCGCCATTTTTAAGCAAATTGTTCTGTTAAGAGTATTTCTTTTTGACTGACTGACTCAAATATGGATTTTTCGGATTCAAATGAGCCGCAAGACACGGGCTCTTCTACAGAACCAACTACAACAGCAAGGAGCATGCCTAACCTAGTTATGCCAGCTGTTGATGATGGTGAGGAGCTAGTAGTTCAGCCAGTTCCCTCGGGATCATCTGGGAGAAGAGTATACTAAGAGTACACAAATGAAATCAGGTTACTAAAGATTTTAAAGAATATGACAGAATAGTTCCTTAGTTTGTAATTTGGATAACAAACAAACTACCCCCCAATTTTTATAAATAAAAATAATTTGTTTTAGAGCAATGTGAACATGAAAAAAATATGCTCCTGGGCACCTCCAAGCAATTCATTCAATTTGCAGAAGTAAGGGGGATGGTTCCAAAAGAAAAAATATGTACACCATCATAGGCTTAAGTCACTGGAAAAGGTTTCTGGTTTCTGGAAAAGTTTTCAGGACGATTTAGATGCCGAAAAGGGAATTGCCGAAGTACCTAATAACTACGCCAGAACCACTGGAACCTGGTTCGAAAATGTACATTTACCATTTCCAACAATTTTTCAGCTTATGTATGCATTTAGTGATGGTCAGTCTTAAACACGGGCGAAAAAGGAATTATGAAATACCAATGGACCAATATTGTCTTTTAAAACCATCGCTGATTGGTATAGTTACTGTCGCGAGACAACAGTCATTTATCTTATAGAACATAATTATGACCAAATAAAATAGTGCAAATCAACGAGTCAAAATTTGGCCATAGAAAGTAAAACAGATGCCGACATATAAAAGGCCGTTGGGTAATTTTTTATGATCCAGGATGGAAGTGAAGACTTACGAGAGACTTCATTAACAAAGACCTTTTCATCAAAAAAAGGAAGTGTCAACTCTTGGGCCCTGTAAGTACAGTTTTACCGCCACACAGATAACGTCGACAAACTCAATTATCGAATAACATGAATAAAGAATAACAAAAATGCCTACATACACACATCAAAAAAAGTTTTGAGATCACTTGCAAGAGCTGATATATTTTAAAAATTTAACTTAATCAACAGAAAATGTTTTGGTTTTATCTTTTTTTATTTAAAAATACACTTTCTGAAATCAAAAAATTAAAGTAATTTTATTTTGTAGTCTAATAAATTTAATAATTCAAGGCAATTGTAATAGAACTTTGATAGAAATAAAAAGATAGTTTAACGAAACTTAAAAACCTTTTATTAATAAATTGTTATTTATCTAATACAAAATAACTCCTCCTCTGGCTCGAACACATGCGGAGATCCTCTTGGGCATGCTGAGGATCAAGTTATTCAGGATTTCTTGTGGTAACCTGTCCCTTTCTTGAACAGCAGCTTCCCTGAGCTGCGACACTGTCTGGGGTGGTGGCTGCCGGTTCCAAACAGATCGCTTAAGAGCATCCCACGCGTGCTCTATTGGGTTTAAGTCAGAAGAGCCGGCAGGCCAGTTTAACCTTGTGATTTCGTATTCTCGGAGAGCAGCATTGACACGATGAGCTCGATGTGCGGGCGCATTATCGTCAGTCAGTACAAATTGGTATCCGGTTTACTCAGGTCTGACGATTCCATCAATAGCGACTGTTTTGTATCTGTTTGCCGTCATGATGCTTTGATCAGGGATTAAAGGCGTTCTAGCCCCAATCATAATACCACTCCAAAATGACACTGATTTCCCGCCCTGCTGAACCGTTCCAGTGGCCGTTCTTTGCCTTTCAGAGCCTCCAGGTCTTCTCCAAACACGGACACGTCGGTTATCTGGATGGGTACTGATTCGCGATTTGTCAACGAAGAGGCAGTTTTGCCAAATATTTTCCTCGTCGTCTTCTTCGTTTTGCCGGAGTCAAGCCCACTGTAATCTCCGTCGCTGACGTTCCCGTGAAATCAAGGTGCTCGCCAAGACCTCCGTGCTCGTAATCCAGCCTTCTGTAAGCAATTCAGAATGGTCTGAGTGCTAACTTCAAGTCCGGAGGCGGCCCATATTTCTGCTTTTAATTAAGTGGCGTTTATTGTTGGGTCGCAGGCTACCAGCAACCTGATGTAGCGCTTATGAACAGCTGTCAAAACAGTTGGGCGACCGCTGCGGGGTCGATCATCTAAATTACCCATACCGTGGTACCTCTGCAACGTGGTTACTACATAGGAGTGGGACATGGCAACTTTGCGTGCTTTTTCTCTCGTATAATAGCCTTCTTCCCTCAAAGTTAATTCTGGCTCGTAAAATATCTGATAATATTCGTGGCATTTTTTAAATCACAACTTTCTTTGAAATAATATTTTAAATTCGATAATATTGACAGTCAGATTTCTGACTGAGTGTCAGCTTGGATTGTATGTCTTTTTATATGGAAAAAAAATGAAATATTTTATTGTTTTACGTTCTAATTCCAATTTTAAAATTTAGAATCTTATCAGAAAAATAAATTACAAAAAAGTCTTCTGTAACACAAAAAACAATCTATTTTTCAAAGTGATCGCAAACTTTTTTGATGTGTGTATGTTATATTATATTTTTTGTGTCGTTTTAAAACAACGGTAGTGTCGAATGCAGCATTGCTTGATTCTGTTTTTGTAAAACAATTAAACATTACAAGCATATACTTGTAGGCTTATAATGATATTGATCATGATGATAGTGATGATAATATTAGAAAACAAAAAAATAAATATGTGTGTTTTAATATATGGTTTTGAATGTATACATTTTCATTTATATATTGTAATATGTATGAAAAAAATATATTATATTATTTAAATAAATTAATATTTATGTTTTAATGTATGATTTCGATTGTATAAATTTTTATTTATTTTATTGTAATATGTATGAAAAAATTTAATTATAAGTATTATGTGTTTGTACATTTTACATATTCGATTGAATGGAAATATTTTTTGTGAAATAATTGTAATTGTTTATTGAATGTTTATTTCTTTATCCTTGAGTTTATCCCTGAGTTCTATTTAAACTTTGCGAAATAGAAAGATTCGTGCCAATATTGTGAAGAAGAATAGACGTGGCACTAATGTGTTTCCTAGAAGAAAAATGTTTAAACTTTCATTTCTTTATAGTGCAAAGGTTTTACTCGAGTGTCGTGCCAAGACATTAGCACAAGATTTGATGAGGCACTATTATATATTCTGTTTTTACTCACTTTCAACTAAATTTAAGAGTAATTTGAAGCTGTTACTCTATGGTTATAGTTACAGTACGAAAAATGTACCGTACAAAAAATATACACATCATGTGCAAAGGTTCTGCCCTGGCACTTAATGAGTTTTTAATGGTTGCTAATAGTATTATCATTTAAAAATTATTTCATCCTGTTACTCGATCGGCCAGGTTTTTTGCAGTCAGCTCTTGGAATATAAAACTAATAATAATAATCTGTGATGTTTTAATTTTTTGTCTATTATTATATGTCGAACTAAATAAAGTAAAATATTCGTATTTTTAATTAGTCGACCGTTGATTTAAATAGTGTGAGGGTGAATAAATATGACTATAGAGCGGAAACCGTAACCACAGCTCAACCATAATGGAGAAATAAAACAGTTTTTACGGGTTATATGCACTGAATTTATTTATTTATTGACGTTTCCGTAGAAAACTGTTTTATTCAATGAGTGATGTGCGTGAAAACCTAAGAAACAAACATAATGGAGAAAGTTAAAAAGTTGCGAAATGTGGCAAGAAGGCAATTTACTAAAGCTGCTGATGAAAAAACAGAATCCTATGAAGCATACAGGCTCAGGAAAGTAAAAGAACACATTTTTTTAAGAATGGGCGGATGGATTGTTCATTTAAGATGAGTAAATAAAACTATATTTTATCAAAGATGAAGACTTTGTAAATGATCAAAATTCCATAGACGACTATAGTAAAATATAGATAGAATTGAATTTTTTATACGAAGATTCAATGCGAGAAGACAATTTAAGAAAAAGTAGTTCCGAAGTTACTTCTAGGTCAGAAGTAGAAACCAAGGGCACGAAGAATGAACAAAAGACAGAAGATTTTGGAAGAAATTTTAAATTACTAATTATTAAATTTAGAAAGTTTGACGGGAAAATAAATAACCGATTAAGTTTTTGGGGACAATTTCACAAGGTATACAAAGATCCAAATATTGACGCAGACGACAAGTTGCAATATTTATTCAGGAAACGGAAGGATCTGCAGCAAGAAAAGTATTCGATAGTTTTTCGCCATCCGGTAAGAATTATAAGAAAGCGAAAGAAACAATTGAGAAATAGATTTGGGAACGAGAGCTAAGATTGATGTGTGAGAGCTATTGAAGTTTGTATTAAAGAAAGATAAGGTAGATCTAATCTTTAACAGGTGGTCTACGTTCCACCTAAATTTGCGAAGCCATTCGAAAAAATTATTACATAAAGAAGAACGATGATTGATTTAGAAATTTTAGGAGCATTTTGACAAATTTTTCCTCGTCACTGAAAGATTTAGAACCACTGATCTCGATAAAGTTTATGACAAATTCACAGCACAAAGATCTTTACAAACAATCGAGGTGATAACCAACAAATATGCCGCTATGCAATACGCATTAGTCGAGTCTGCATTGCCAAGCGTGGTATAGCAGATCTGGATAAAATTCTGTGCGACTGATTACGAGAATAACGAAACAATTTGTTTTCATAGTATTTCAATAAATAATTAAAAAATAATATACTGTTTGAGGATTTCTGCACGACTGACAATAAGAGAATTTTTTGACAGCCTTGCGTTGAAAATAAGTGTATTGATCATAAAAAGTTGCAAAGCCTTCATAGACGCAATGAAATGCACGAACTCCCGAGAACAGCCGCTGCGCCGATTCGATATGATTCGCGCTAAATCATTGCATGCCGGGATTAAATTATGTATGTTATATTTAATCTTCATTTCATTAAAATTTGTTTGATTTATCATAAGTTTTACAATTTAAAGCGATAATATAATTTTCGTAATATCATTTTCAGGCTCTGATACCGTTTTGTTTGAACTTATCACAACACCATCATCAGCGAATGCAGTTTAATGATGGCCTGTAGTGTAAAAA